GTAGACCTTATATTGTTGTGCGAGCGAAACTTCTTTTCTTACCACGCCAAGCCATGCCTTAGTATGGGATTCATAATACAGTTTTCAAAGAAATCTAGGGAAGAAGAGAGTTTTTGGTCAAACTAATGTTAATGTATCAGATTTGTGTATAACTGGTTAGGTGTATCAAGAGACCTCCCAGTACGACATTGTTTTCGTTTAGGTACCAAAAGGAGCATTCACGGGTGAAGTTTCTCCTGCTATGCTCAAGGACTTGGGTATCGAATGGGTGATCCTTGGGCACTCAGAGAGACGTCATATTTTCGGAGAATCAGATCAGGTTCATTTTCCCGAAAATCTTTACTGCTTATATACGTAATGTATGAATATCCTGTCGCTATATAACCTTAATTTGTTTAAGTTTTTCATTTCCTCGTTTGTTCCTTCATGCTCTTTCCTTTTGAGTCTTCAGAAAACGGACATGACTCCTCTATTAACTGGTTCACCTGAAGAGTATTATTTCGATCTTTTATTCTCTTATTCCTCTTCGAGGAGGAATGTACTTCTTCAACCCTCTGAAAACTTTTAAAAACTTCTACTCGATATTTAAAGGCTTCCAAAATATCTCGATTTTCTTGCGTGTCAGCATTACTTCAGGAAGTATACGTCCCAAAAATACTCATTCCCAAAGTGCAAAGTTTGAAAGAAGCTGGTATTTTTGAAATTTCGAAGTCTTAATGCTCTCATATCTTGCACCGTACGTCTCCTTCTCAACCAGTCCTCGTTCTGTGCAACAGCCAGGTGCTGCTACACTCAAAATTTTTAGCAAGAATTTTTTTTCGGTTCGAATTCGTCCTTTCAAAAAGAAAAAAAGAGCAAAATAGTCTCATAGTAATGCTAAAGTGTTCTCGTTCTTTTTACCATCTTCCGCAGTAGATCAGATCAGAACGGTTACGCCTGAGTACTCGTCATCCTATTATTTAGCTTATTGCGGAAAAGGTCGTTCATTGCCTCGAAAACCATGTAAATGTCATTTTCTGCATTGGTGAGAAACTAGAGGAAAGGGAAGCTGGTAAAACTAAGGAGGTGAGTTGTTTTTTGTCGAGCTTCAATCTTCGTTCTACATGTGACTTATAAAGCAGTTTTCCAGGTGAACTTCCGCCAGATGCAAGCCTTAGTTGACAAAAAAGTTGATTGGACAAACATTGTTATCGCTTATGAACCTGTGTGGGCTATTGGTACAGGAAAAACCGCCACTCCCGAGCAGGCACAAGAGGTATGTAAAATTTATTTTGTTGTCTTCCATCATTGATGAGTCTCTCATTAATCGTTAAGTTGTCAATTGGGCCGTTATAAGATTTTATCTTCACCAGGTTCATCTGTGGATCCGCGAGTTTTTGAAAGAGAAGGTCTCCGCTGATGTTGCCGAGAAGACCCGCATTATCTACGGAGGTCCGGATTTCAAACATAGCCACTTTTGAGCATTGGTCTCCAGTTCCGCATTCATACCAAAAGCTTTGTTGAATTGCAGGGTCCGTCACTGCCGAAAACTGCAGAGATTTGGGGAAGAAGCCCGATATCGATGGTTTCCTAGTCGGAGGTGCTTCCCTTAAGCCCGATTTCATCAAGATCATCAACGCTCGCAAGTAGTTCTCGAATTAGAGAAGTTCGTCTTCCAGTGTTGATCCCGGTAGAGCTTGCCTAGTCTTAAGTGTTATCTCGGCTTACCTCTGGTAAACATTGTGAGATAACTTGTAGTATTTGTCTTGTAATTCTAATATGTGTTGATGTACATCTTTTGTAATAAAAGATTTTTCAATTTGTGTGTCGGTATTTTATTTCTCCGTAGCAATCCGAGCAGTTATCTCTACAGAAGTAGCAAAAAGGTTTGTAGAAAA